ACCAAATACACAAAATAATGTTCTTTTTAGCAACATCATATGACCCCTTTAAATTATGGTTGAACCCCTGATGTCACATGGATTATTTTACAGATCTCCTTGCTACGTTTCTGGACTTGGGAACATTTCAGTTGTGTTGCTGTCTATGCAGAGTCAGACAGCTCTCAGATTCCATCACAAATATCTTAATTTGTGTTCCCAAGATGAACGAAGGTCTTACGGGTTTGAAACGACATGAGGGTGAGTAATTAATGACAGAATTTTCATTTTTGGGTGAACTGCCCCTTTAAAAGGAAAAAATATTTAGCATAATGAAGCTTGCTTTTTGGACCAATATTTTTTATGCATTTTCACTTGGTTTTCATGACAATTTGGCATATATGGTTCAGTACTGGGAACAATATTTTCTCAAATAAGAAGTTGGGGGTAAAATATGCTTCACTGTAATGAAAAATGCAAGTAATGATGGTCTGAAAATGGGCTTCATTTTTATTACACCAAATACATATTTTATTTTGGGATGAAATATGACCTGGGCATTTCTTTGTGGGATTTATCCTTTAACCGTCAGATGTGGATAAACAATTGGAGATGTTTAATGTATGATTTCAGGGCCATCTGACGAGGATGAACAGCAGTAGACACTTATATCACGTTGGACGAAATGTGAGCATACAGAGAATGGCAAGTTTGAACAGTAATGCTTGGTTTGCGAAGTTAAAAAAAGTTGATCAAGTCACATTATTAAATTTTCAAACTATTAGGAGTTGCTTAGTACATTTAAATATAATAGCCAATATAGCAGCTGTAAAAGAAAAGCGTCTTGGTTTTTCATTCCCAGTAATGAAAAGCACAGAACTTCATAAAGACCTGTCAGACAGACTCGTTTGGCTCGTTACCTACAAACCCACTGTGGTTCAGACTGGCCGCCGTAGTGTTGAGGTTGAAGACGATTAATGAAGACGATTTTCACTGTTCTCCTCCCAACAACCTTTCACTAGGTAGCACAAAACCCACGCTTGTATGTTTGATCATCTCGCAATGCTGAATACTTGATCCTCACGGGTCGCTCGCAAAAATCACTTGCACGGGGCGACGTATCCATTACGAACCGGGACACTGAGCGTTTCTTCGGCTTCACGGCATCAGATCCTGACTGGAATGTTGGGGTGCGTTCAAAAACGATCTTGTTTTCCGTCGTTCTTGTATCTCTCACACACTTAACAAGTAAACAATGTTATGGGTCCATTTCAGGTCGTGGTGGGGCAGTGAGGGTCACGGCGGTCAGCGGTGAAGGTCCCTCCCCGCGTTTCGAGCGGTTCATCTTGACCTTTCACCTCTTCAGGATGCATTTTCTCAGGCTAAGAGGCCAAATAAGCAGGACCCGCGAGGTGTCTTGGGTGTTTTTGCATGTGCGTGTGAGAGTTAGTTTAGCGTGTTAGCGTTTGTAGAAAGTTCATCCACTTGGGACGTCCAAGACTCGAGCTTCTCCCAAAATTCTTACGATTTTCAAGCAGCCAAGGCTCTTCCTCGAAAGACTCGCTTTGGAGTCTTGTGCAAGTATCCAGAGGATGGGGTCCCATCTGGCGTAGTGTTTTTTGTTTTGTACTTAGGCGGTTCAGGGTACCGTAGGGGCATGTGGTCAGAGGGATGAGTTGTCCAGTAAACGGACCTCCTCTTCACTCTCATCTTCCTCATAGCGGGAAGGGGAGGACGCTAATTGAACATTATGGACTCGGGGTCTTGGTTTGCCATCTGGGCCATATGACGGAGGATATCTTTTTTTGTAATAATACCAAGGAGGCGCCTATAAAAAGAGAGACAGAAAAAGGTAGAGAAATTTACTAGTGCATTTTTGACACGTTTGCAGAGCACTTACATCTTCTGTTGCCAAGTTTTGCAAGGAAGTCCCAACGAAATGCATTTTGTATAACTCTATTCTCGTTTCGACTCGGAATCAAATCTTTGCTCCAATTTTGATGGCTCCATACTTCAGCCTTGGCAACAGACAGCTGACAGTCTCTGGGTTGAAGAAGGGCAGAGAGTGTGGAAGATTATGCCGTGTTACTCAGTGCAGGAAACACTATGTTATTTCTATGAGCCGACAGCACCTACACAGTGAGAAGCAAGTGTTTTGCGAAACAGAGGGAGTGAACGCCTCCATCTCATCCACACACTCTGGCCTTGGAGAACGAGAAAGTGAAGTTGTTTTGCCAACACAAATTCAAGAGCATATTTAAAGGATGTATAGAATCTGTGCATTTCATTTGTTTAGTGTTGGAGAACATTACTTGAAAAAGTACTATTGCATTACTTCTTTGAAAGTTTTGTCATGTTGCATCACTCATTTGCAGCATAGACACAATTTCAAGCACAATAAGCGTTACATTACTCCACTCCCAAAAATAGTGCATAGTCAGATTACTCATTTGCAGCAAAGACAGAGTCTTGCAATGTACCTGCATTACAGTAGCTGTTACATTACTCCTACAAAAGCATTACTTTATTAAAAAAAGTAATTAATTAAACCACAGTGTTTATTTTCTCCTACTTTATGTGAAAGTAACTTGGCCATTAAAGTGTTAATCAAAAACTAATGTGATACTTTATGTAACTAGCAGCATGTTACTTTTAAAACAGTGTGATTTTGTAATGTTACTTGTAACGTTTTACCCGTAACAGTATTTTTCTAAGTGAATAAAGTGTCTGTAACTAAACCCTAACTTTTCTTGATAAACTTTCAAAATATAGGTGTTCAAAACAAAGCGTCATGCGCAATGTACAGACATTACTGCATTACAGTAGGTGTTACATTACTGCTAAAAAAGTATTACTTTATTTAAAAAAAAAAAAAGCAATTAGGCACACGAAGTTACACCACGCTGTAACTCCTTCCCAAATTTTGTATGTTAATTATTTGTGCGTCTTTAGAAGCAACTTGTGCACTATAGTGTAAATTCAAAACAGTAATGCAAAACGTAGGCTACGTTTACACGACAACGATGTAGTCAAAAACGGAAAAGTTTTTCCCTTGTGTTTTTAAAAAGTTTCACGTATACACGACAACGTTTTCAAAACGATTCGCGTTTACACATATCCGCGAAAATGGCCAAAAACGCTGTATTACGTATGCCAGGCCAGTAGTTGGCGCTGTCACCTTGTTAGTAAACAGTATCTGTTGGGAAGTGACGATTATATGTTGTATATGATGCATCTCCGCTGTTGGTTGTAATATTGGTGAAGTAAATCCACACTTTGCTGAAGAAGCGTTAGCAAACTCTTGAGCAGCAACAACAGTACCATATACTCCGCCATTGTTGTGTATGTTTGTTCGCGCTTGCCTTTAAAATCAAAATGTACTGCGCATGTCTACATACCTAACACATACTACCCACGCACATGGCGTCAGCATTTTCAAAGATTCCCGTTTTGGGTGTTTACACGGAAATGATAACAGTGCCGTTTTCAAAAACTTGCACTTTGAAACCCGTTTTCAAAAATATGCGTTTTCAGACCCCAAAACGCCATTGTCGTGTAAACGAACAGTCAAAACGCAAAAAAAGTTTCCCATTTTTGGCTGAAAACGTTGTTGTGTAAACGGCCCCTTAGCGTAACTAGTGGCATGTTACTTCTACAACAATGCGATTATGTAAAATGTTAGTTATAATGATGTACATGCAAGTGTTTTTCTAAATTACTAAATTTTCTTGATAGACTTTAATATGCAATGTACACACATTACTGCGTTATAGCAGGTGCAACTTTTTTTAAAAGAAGCAATTAGTTACACCACGTTGTAACTTCCCCCTACTTTTGTACTTTAATTAGTTAGGTGTATAAAAGTAACGTGTGCATTATAGTGTGAATTCAAATTAGTAATACAATACTTCAGGCATTACTGGATTTCTAAATGGATACAGCGTCTGTACCCAAACACTAATTTCTCTAGATAAACTTTAAAAATATAGGTGTTCAACATATAAAATGTCACGTGCAATACGTTACTCGATTACAGTAAGAGTGACATTATTTGTAAAAAGAAAAAAAAGAAAGTGTAACACTTTTAAAAAAGCTATTAATTACACCACATTGTTACTTTTGTATATTACTTATTTGTGTAAAAGTGTATAAAAGTAACTTAGCAATATATAGTGAATTCAAAAAAGTAATGCAATACTTTGCATGAACATTATGTAACGCTTCACCCCAACTCCTTTTTTCTAAATAGATACGATATCTGTACCAAAACACTCATTTCTCTTGATCAACTTTTGAATGTTAGTGTTCGACAAACTTTTAACTTTATATATGCTCTTGATTTTGCTTTTGAAAAAGGGATTTAAGCTTGATGACAGTTTGTATCACAGAAAAAAGGTGTGACAATTTTGACGAGAGCTGGGATTGTGAGAGTCCATCCAAACCAGAGGCATGTAACGCTCGTGAAATGATTGTCAAACCTTTGTGAAATGTTCGTGAAATGCCTGCAAGACGTTCGCGACAGGAAGAAAGTGAAAAGGTCGAACATCAGACAACTGAAAGAGGACAGGGTGTGGGACTCGAGACAGGTGAGGACTGTTGGTTTAGGGGACAGGAACTGCTGACTACACACTACAGGAAGTGCTAGGATTCTAGAGTCACACCAAATCGTCATGGTAACAACACAGCATCCTAGTAACAGCTGCTATGACTACAGAGATGAATAGATATGTTGGTGAATGAGAAAATATTCCGCTACACACGACTGTTACTCGCCAATCGTTTAAGGGCGGAGCTGCGCGAGGGGTCAGATGTCATCGATCTGTAGCCCAGCCGACGCAGACCAGGCGCCCCCGAGAGGAATTTAGCAATAAACAAAGGAAAACAAACAAAGAAATCAAATTCAGATGAAGGACATCACGGCATGTGTATTAGATGTGCTTTGTGAGTACACGTGCACAATGCAGAACTGAAAGGGAAGGGCTACATAAAGGTGCATTTCAAAGACACCGCGGCTAATGTGACAGACTAGTCTACCCTGCAGGGATGGCCGAGGACAGGAGCAACAATCTGAGTGAAAGCAAATCTTACAAGAAACATGATGTCTGCAGGGGAATGAAGTCCTGGAAGCAGGGTCCAAGATGCTGTTTAATTTCACCTAGTACCATATACTAGCTGAAAATTTCCAAGATGTACATGAGTTTGTATCTTCATTGTAACAGATTTGGAGAAATGTAGCATTGCGTCACTTGCTCATCAATGGATGCTCTGCAGTGAATGGGTGCCGTCAGAATGAGAGTCCAAACAGCTGATAAAAACATCACAGTAATCCACAAGTAATCCACACCACTCCAGTCCATCAGTTAATGTCTTGTGAATTGGAAAGCTGCGTGTTTGAAAGAAACAAGGCGTTTTTAACTTAAGCCGTTGCTAAAATACGAGTCCTCTATCCGTAATCTTGCTTTCTCCAGTGAAAAAGTCGTCTCATTTGAATCAGGAGAGAAATATGCACAGATCAAGTACTGCTTACAAGTGAAAACAGTCCAAAACAGCTCTAAACAAATCTGTGGGTGGATTTTGATGTAATTGGACAACAGGAGATGGACTTTTTCTGGAGGAAGCCTTATTATGGACTCGTATTTTAGCCAGAAGCAACGGTTAAAATTTAAAACACCTTGATGGATTTGTTTCTTACAAACATGCAGCTTTTTGCTTCACAAGTCATGATGGACTGGAGTGGTGTGGATTACTTGTGGATTATTGTGATGTTTTTATCAGCTGTTTGGACTCTCATTCTGACGGCACCCATTCACTGCAGAGCATCCATTGCTGAGCAAGTGATGAAATGCTACATTTCTCCAAATCTGATGAAGAAACAAACATCTTAGATGGCCTGAGGGTGAGCATATTTTCATCAAACTTTCATTCTTGGGTGAAATACTCCTTTAATACACATTACTGGTCACAAATTGGTGCACCTTATTTAGTGTTTGGACCCCACATGCAGGACAGTTCCACCACTTCCAGATAACTGCTATTTCAGTTTTGTCAGTTTTTGCATTTAATTTCAAAATGAGATCAATTTCAGAGTTAGGTGGTATAAAAACTTTTGCAGACATCAGTGAATAGAAGTGAGTAGAAATGACAATAAATTTATCCATACACAACATGTACATTTTATGCATCTCTAACTAGCTGAAATTGCGACTTTGGTATTTTAGGGCAACCATCACCCAGAACGCTCTTGTTTTTTTTTTTCACTCAAGTTTCATGCGTCACTCCTAAGAGGCGGAGTCTAAGTCAGAAGGCAGAGTGGGAGGGGCTAATCACCAAGGGCTCCACGTGCTGCTTGAGCTCTTCCAGATGTTCTAAAATATTCTTCTTTGTGATGATGCCCAATAAAATCCTGCAACACACACCGTGACGACCATCACTTAGCAACAAAAATTACACCGACAACTCAAGTACAAACAAATAGAAATCAAAACAACATAAGAGTAACAAGACAACAGAAGCAATATGAACAGAAATTTACAGAGATCATCAAAATAATCAGGTGTTGAGTTGCAATTAAACAAATGAACTGAACAGAATCAAATTGTAATAAATATCAGCCGCCACCGTATGTGTGAAATAAAAATTATTCTATGATTAAACCAGGATTAAGAGCAGTGACTTTACCGTACAGGAACAAAAACTACTCAATCGCTCGCGCAGGTCACATTATAATTTTTTTTCTCTGGTTATCGGTAACTCAGAATAAGCTCTAGGCTCAGTTAGTGTCTCTCTCTTTGCAATCCAAAGACCCAGAGTTGAATTAAATTCAAATGTATGTTTGAATAAATCTGACATGAAAACAAGTTATTACAGCCACTGTTTAAATGTTTATATGTCTACAACAAATTGGAGTAGAAATACACTTATATCACTAAAAAGCTTAAAATTAAATTGTTTTTTTATTTAAGTGTTGATTATTAAACAAATTTGATTACTAATAAACTTTCATTTCAGTTTCTGAAGTAGTAATTAATGGCTGTTGGAAATTCAGCTTCGCATCACGTGAATAAATGACATTTTAAAATATATTCAAATAGAGAACAGTTATTTTATATATCTCGTAACTTTACTGTTTTTACTGTATTTTTGACCGAAAAAAAAAATGCTGCCTTGGTGAGCAGAAGAGACTTATTTCAAAAACCTTAAAATAAACCACAGACCTTTGAATGGTAGTGTTTGCATGGATGAATGTACAAAAACATGCATTTATAAAATTAATGTCATACTGACTTCAACAGTTAAAATGACAGCAGTTTTATAATGCTTTTCACATTACAGTAACGAAAGCATTGTTGCACTAATCAGAGTTTGAGGTAAAAAATGTGCTGAATGTTGCAATGCAAAAAATGTTCCTAAAAAGGTTAAATGATAAAACTTTAATAATTGTCAATATAATAATAAAAGAAATGTGAGACAAAATGCAATTAAGCAGACTGACATTTGAGGCCTGAAAGTGTTTATATATTGTGTATTCATTAAATTTAAGTGTTTATACACATCTTAAATTTTATGAATTAATTGATTATTAAATATACTTCCCATTCTGTGTTTCGGTAAACTACTATTCAGTGTGAACAGTTTTATTTGCTTTAATGCAAAGTACATATTATTGGCCGGGTTGTATTTTGCAGATGTGTTTGTTACTGAATGCAAAAGCACCTGAAAGATCTGGGTTTTACAGCTTGCTAAAAGACCTCTTCTCTGCGATTTGTTGAACTTTTTTAATTGTTGTTGTTGGTGTGAACAGGCCCTGCACAAGCGTTTGCACACAGCAGGGATCTCTCTGGAGTCACTGCTTTATTTGACTCCCTCAAAAAACCATGAGAAACGCATGGCAGATATAAACATACCATGCATATATTATAGTATACATTTATATTTAAATATATTTACTTGTTTTTCATGAATGTATTTTACAACAATACAAAGAGCAATGTGTGACATTTTTGTCCTACACTTTTATTTGTTCCACACTAATTATTATTTTTTCACTAAATGTTTAGATTTTATAAAATTATTGTGCACTCGTCATTTTTCTGGAGTAACTAGAGTAAGTTTATAATGGTATTTTTGTCATAGATTATGATTATATATTTTTTCATTTGTTATTTTTCTTTATAATGAAGTTGTCTATATTTAGTAGATTGTGTTTAACACACAAAGAGTGATGATCAGGTCAACACACAGAGGTAGACAGATTCTACACTGATTGAAAAAAAAAGAAGAAAAACGCACTGGTATCGGATCAGTATCGGTTCTGAAAAAAATGGTCTCTGTGCATCCCTAGTTTATTTGATCAAAAATACAACAAAACTGTAATTCTGAGAAATATTATTACAATTTAAAATAACTGTTTTCTATTTAAATACATTATAAAATGTAATTTATTTCTGGGATGCAAAGCTGAATTTTGAGCAACCATCAATTACTCCAGTCTTGGTGAACATGAGACTTTTCAAAAACTTGAAAAAAAAAAAAAAATATAATAATAATATCAAACTTTTTAACCGATGATTAACTTAACTATAATTGTTTATACTTGCAAGTCATGAGACATTGCGAGATTGTGAATCTAATCTAAAGACACGCTTTTAGTAAACTTAAATGTACAAATAAAAGCATTAACAAAAATTTGTAACACCAGTAAAATCACTGCGAATATACTGTGAATTTTCAATATGGTCTAGCTCTACTGGATCCTGTGAAGGCTGTTTTGTGTGTGTGTGTGTATCGAGTGTTTTGTCAGTGTTTTAGCAGGAGACTAGCAGCTGAGAGGCATGTGAATCCACAGATGCATGACGCCACGACTGAAGCCCATCAGCAGACGTGTGTGTGTGTGTGTGAGTGTGAGTGAGTGTGTGTGTGTGTGTGTGTGTGTGAGTGAGAGTTTGTGTGAGTTTGTGTGTGTGAGTGAGTGAGTGTGAGTTTGTGTGTGTGTGTGTGTGTGTGAGTGTGTGTGTGAGTGAGTGTGTGTGAGTGAGTGTGTGTGTGTGTGTCTGTGTGAGTGTGTGTGCGTCTGCTGACGGGACGTTCGTTAGTTCAAACACACAGCACAGAAGAGGGAGAGGGAATCGAGGCGTCCCGGCGGACACTCACCCGTTGTGCGTCACGAGGCACTGGCGCAGGCCGAGCTTGCGGAAGATGTCCACCACGATCTCCATGGGCGTGTGGTCGGTGACGGTGAAGGGACTCATGTCCAGGATGCTGCGCAGCTTCAGCGGCCGCGGGCTGTCGGCCGGGAGGGTCGGGGCATGCTGGGTAAAATAGACCCGCGAGTTCAGCATTATTCCCTCTTGCTTACGCCGGGCGTTTTCTGAAAAGACAAGCAGCAAAAGAACATCTTTCTGTCATCTTTGTGGACAGAGAAACTCTGATGTGCATTTCTACAGTAAGCTAATAACTTGGAAACATATCCGTGTGACATTTTACACCAAAAATAGAAGAGAAAAAACATAAGAAAATATATTTTGCACAAACAAAGCAAAGATTATTTGAAATTATTTTCATGTCAGTTCTCATTTAAAATGCATATTAAGATGGGAAATATTTTAAATTTCACCTTTAGATATAGACTCCCATTCAAAAGTTTGGGGTCAGTAAATCTTTAATAATTATTACTATTTTTTATTTATTAATTTTCCCCCAAAATTTTTATAAATAAAACAAATCTGTAAACTGTAAAAAAAAAAAAAAAAACTAGTAAAAAACAAATAAAATAGATTTCATTTACATTGTATGGCCACTAAATAAATAAAAAAAGAAGTCTTTTTTAATTTTGTGTTTTTAACACGTTATGGTATTGGTACTCTATTATGGCTGATATGACTGATATGGTGGACAATAAAAAAAATAAAAAAAATTTCAATTTAATTTAACTTTGGAATAACACTTTTATTCAGCAGGGATACATTAAATTGACCAAACGTGACAGTAAAGATTTTTATAATGTTACAAAGAATTTCTGTTTCAAAGAAATGCTGTTCTTTTGAACTTTCTATTCATCAAAACATCCTGTCATTTTAACATGGATAATAATCAGAAATGTTTCTTGAGCAGCAAATCAGTATATTAGAATGATTTCTGAAGATCATGTGACTCTGAAGACTGGAGTAATGATGCTGAAAATACAGCTTTGATCACAGCAATAAATTACATTTTACAATATATTACAACAGAAAACTGTTATTTTGAATTGTAACAATATTTCACAATATTACAGTTTTTACTGTATTTTTAATAAAATAAATGCAGCCTTGATGAGCAGAAGAGACTTTGGTCCCACTTTATATTAAGTGGCCTTAACTACTATGTACCTACATCAAAAAATAAGTACAACGTATTTATTGTGCTCATATTGTATTGCAAAACACTTCTGCTGCTATTGAGGTGGGATACGGGTAAGGTTAGGGACAGGTTTGTTGGTATGGGTAGGTTTAAGGGTGGGTTAAGGTGTAAGGGATGGGTCAACAGTGTAATTATAAATGTAATTACAGAAATTAATTACAGATGTAATTACATGCAGGTATTTTTAAATTATAAGTACAATGTAAAAACATGTATGTACACAATAAGTGCATTGTACCAAATGATTAATTTAAATGTAAGTACATAGTAGTTAAGGCCACTTAATATAAAGTGGGACCGAGACTTTATATTCATTTAGAAAATGAATTTCATGCTGACTTCAACAGTTAAAATGACAACACTTTTATACATCAAGTGAATGAAAATGAGATATTTGTGTATTGCGGTAATCTAAATCGTAGTCAGAAAAAAAATTTAAAAACGGTACTAAAACAGGCTTCATTTACTTCAACAGTTTTCAATGCAATATGAAAAAAACCCAACAACGTGAGAATAATTGCAATCAAGCAGCCTGAAATGTGAGGTTTAGTCACCTATAGCGATGGTTATATCCCTGCGCAGCGCGAAGCCCACCAGTCTCTGCGACTCTTTGGAGACGATGACGGGGAAGCCGTTGCAGCTGGTTTGGGAGATGATGCTCTGCAGCTCGGCGAGCGTCATGTCGTCCTGCGTCAGCACGGCCAGCGGCGGGTCGTTACCCCGCGGACGCATCACTTCCCGCGCCAGCGTGGTGTGCGTGAACTCTTCCTTGGCGTCCAGGAAGGGGTATCCGTTCAGACGGATGTGGGCTTCGTAGATCCCCTCCCTCCCGAAAGCGTCGCCGACCCATTTGCTGGTCATCACCGCCGCCATGAGAGGAACGATGTACTCCAGCCCGCCGGTCAGCTCGAACACGATGACCACCAGAGACACGGTCATCCGCGTCACGCCGCCTACACAAACACCCCAGCACACGATATTAGAGCGTCTGTGAAGGAGAAGAGGGCGCAGAGGAAGCTCAAAGCATGCATACGCACCCAGACAGGCGGCGGCGCCCACCATGGCGTAGAGTCCCGGCGTGATGCAGTCGGCGCCCACCTCACACCACTCTCTGAACAGGAACCAGTCGTGATGATAATACGCCAGCTGCTCCACAGCGATGCCCACGATACGCCCCGCGATCGCCCCGATGGCCATACTGGGGATGAACAGACCCGACGGCACCTGACCACAGCAAACACACAGTCTTCAGTACATATCTGGAAATATAACGCCACCTAGCATTGTAGTGTTAGCATTTGTAGTGTTAATAACAGCCACTCAAATCAGGTGTGCAGATTTTGGACAAACTGGGCAAAAAGCCTTCAGAGATGTTATTTTATTGTAAAGCCTTTGTTAGCAATTTCATATTAATGGTATTTTTTTTTAAGTGGATACACAATGTTCAGCTTTTATGATAATATCAGTTAAAACCACAAATAAAACAAATAAAATAGACACTTTTTAAAACACCTTATGGCAATAAAATTAAAAATAAAATAAATCTGTAATTTGATTTAAAATGAGACACTTTTTCGATTTTATGGCCATATATGGCTAAATAAATAAATCTGTCAAAAATACAAATAAAATAAATACTTTTTAAATTTATTTTATGGCCATAATTTAAAATAAAACAAATAAATAATATAAATAAATCTGCAATCTGTTGAAAAAAAATAATAATTTTTTTTTCATTTTATGACCATAAAATTTAAACATAAAATAAATGTGTAATCTAAAAATAAATAAAATATAAACTTTTTAAAAAATGTAAACAAAATAAATCTGTAATCTGTTAAACACACACAAAGAGAGATACTTTTTAAATTTTATGGCCATAATTTAAAATAAAATAAATCAATACTATAGATAAAGCTGTAATCTGTTAAAAACACAAATAAAGTAAATAAAACAGAGAGATTACAGATTTTATTTTAATTTCATGGCTACACATTAAAAAAAGTCTTTATTTTATTTAGGGCCATCAAATGTAAAAAAAAAATGATTTAAAAAAAATGGCCACTGCACAGAAAAAAAAGCAAATTTACAAGAATGAATGAATGTGTAAGTGTGAATTCATGCAAATTAGACGCCCACAGTTTTTTCACAAAAGTTTCTGTTAAAACCCTAAATGTGCATTTGTTTTGCATATTACTTCCAATAAAATTAGTTTTGGTTTGAAATGGTATTTAAAACAGTATCCAGAGTTTTCAAATTTCACTGGTACTGCTTAATTGTTAGATGGTCTATAGTGAGCTGATTGGGGAGTCACAGCTTAGTCCAGCATCCCTGTATACCAGACAGTTACAGCGGATGACTAACTCAGTTCTAAATGATGACTCTCATCCTTTGAACAATGAATTTAAACTTCTGCCATCTAGATGTAGATTTGTATTTCCGGAATGTAGAACTAAGCGGTATAAAAACTGCTTTGTGCCAGCAGCTATCACTCAGCTGAAGGATAGGTCTTAGGAACATTATTATTTATTAAAATTTTTTTTTTTTTTTTGGTAATTTATTGTTTTTAGTCTAGGCGGTTTTTAGTGATGCTGGGAACCTTAAAGCACTTTTATCATATATGCTGGTTAAAGGTCGACCGATTAATCGGCCGATTTTTGGCATTTTTTAAATTAATCGGCATCTGCTGATTGTGCTGCAAATTAGGCCGATTTATAGGCCGGCGCATCTGCGGGCAACTAAGCGTTACGCTAGGCTGCGTGAGAGACGGAGCAGCTCACACTCTGCAGCAACGGCTTGTTCACACAGCTTCAGCTAATGATGGCAGGGCAAAACAGACTGTTTCGAAAGCGTAATCACGTTTTACCCTGCTAGAATTGATGCCGGAAAGTTATCATATTCATAAGTGCAACAAGTCATTTGCATGTGAAAGTAGAAACACATGCAATTCAGACGAAACTTCTGGGCTGATTATAACGTGCACGCTAACTTTCCTCATGAAATGTGTGCGTTGGTCCGACAATAGCATCCATGATGCCATCGCTTGTGGCCAGTGCACTCTAAGCAGTTATGAGCGGCAGGCTGTGTAATATGTGTGAACTCTTATTTTTGTCATCACTTGGCCATTTGACTTATAGCAGTGTCCAGTGTTTCCCATACATTGAGTTATTTGTGGCGGCTCGTCACCGCGACAAATAGATTTCCCAAAAGGCTTATACTTCGTTGAATAAACTGAGCACTGCACGTTTCAAAATTAAAATGCAGCGCGGGTGTTTTTATATGAATGTATCTTTGAAAAGAACCGACTGTCTTCAGAAAAGCTTCGATGTCATTTTCATTT